GCGCTTCCTCAAAGTTTTCAAACATTCTGCGCTGAAATAGGCAGAAACAGCAGAAAGCCCTCACACACCTCACTCAAGGTAGAAATTCATAAGCAAAGTATTACATGTAGAAATCACCACTGGAGGATCCACAGTGAGCATTTTAGCATTTAACATTTAGCCAGAACCAGCATGCCCCTGTTGGTCACGCTACAACTTGGGTGTCTTTGATTTTGGTCACTTAGCATGCCCGCCGGGTGGTGCATTAAATCAGTGATTGATTGAGGTAGATGCAACCTTTTTTTAACTATGCAGATGAGGTACAAGAATGGAACCCATGATGTAGTGTAGAGTGGCAGCTGATGCCCCTAAAAAGTGCCTGGCCACCCCAGCTGCCACCCCCAGTATGCTATCAAATTTAACACACTAATTTCGATTCATTTAAAAAAATAATGTGTTACAAAGCAGACATTAATTCAATGATCTGTTATGGCCACATTTTAGACAAAGAGATTAAGTTAAATGAAAAAGAATATCTGAGGATTTGGAAACAAAACATTTATTTCTAATGATATTTACATTCAATGCTTTATAAATGTGCCCCAATAATGTAATGTTTTTTAGTTTAAGCATCTTCATTGTTTTTTTTAATATATGATGTTTATTTATTAAGTTAAATCAGCATAATATATTTCTGCCACCCCTTAAAGTCTCCATGCCACCCCCTGGCCATCCCATGAATATTTGTCTAGATCTTTCCCTGCTTTTTGCATTTTTGTGCATTGTTGTACTGTTCACAAACCGCTAGGCTAGTGAGACGGTACCCCTCGCAACCCCTGACACTCGGTCAGTGAACATACACGTTCAACATGGAGGTTTTCCAGAGTGTCACCTCTCTGGAGCTCTGCTCTCCTGCAGCTGCAGACACAACAGCAGCTTCTTCTTGGCTGCTGCTGCTGATTGGGCTCCTTTCTTTTGTTCCATTCTCACACGGTTTATCATGATGTTTTCATGTGACTTTTGTTTTTAGTCTGCAAGGAACTTTTATTTTTTGTTGATTCAGGCATCCCATGTGGACAAAAATGGAAGTCTTTTTATCGCCTCATTTATTTGATTTCAAGGGAAACCGACCAGTTGGCAGGCATTAAGAATAACTAAAGAAATAGACAATCTTCTCGCTGTTGGTCTGGTTTGTTTTTGTAGGTCATATAAAGGCATCAGTATTAAATTGAAATTGTTTCATAACCAGTTAAAAACTAGCCTACTTGTAGTGTGTTTAACTACAATCTAAATTACTTACTTTAAAAAGTACGTTAAAGCAACAAGAGTACATTTAATTTGTTACTCCTACTCCCTTCAATATTTAAGACTTATACCGATATATGGGCCAGTACACAGTTTTATTTTTGTCATCCGTCCGAGAGAAGTTTTCAACCTGTTGGAAACACTAGAGATTCATGTATAGTATATTTCAATACAAGGAAACTACAGCTACAGTAATCAGTTGACTAAGTGAGCAAAACAGAAAAGAAATTGGCAAATGCTTTGGGTTGAGTAGCTGATTAATTGTTTTAGTCACATTTCAAGGAGAAATGCCATACATTTGCTGGTTCTGGCTTCTCAAATCTGTATATTTAATGCTTCTCTGTGTCATAGCAAACTGAATGTCTTTGGATTTTGAGGTGATGATAAACTAAAACAAGCACATTTGCAGCATTTTTAGACATAATTATTAATTGAATGATCTAAAAAAATAACTGACAGATTAATCAAGGATTTAAAAAATAACTGATAAGCCATAAAAGATAGCCCTAATTGGGGTTACAAGGTTTTCACCTAAAGACAGTGACATGGCAGTGTAGTCTTAACCACTTACTTTATTTACTCTGTTAGCACATCCAAACTGAAGGGCTCATACATAATGCCTGGTTTTATTTCCCCTGCCTCTACAGATGCAGTCCACATTTGAAGAAAACCGCATAAAAACAGACAGATGTTTTACACACTGTCATCTGCATACACCACGCTATTGAGTGCAATTGAACTCACTATTCCCATGAGTTAATGTATGTGGTCATTAGTGTGATCTGCAATATAAGATATGATCATAATGCAAAATTAAACACGTAGTATACACATATGGGTTATTCATGCAGATTGTGTATTAATTAGCGTAGTGCCTCTCTGGTGTCTTTCATTAGAGGCTGGGCGTTTGAAGTGTTTCTTTACCAGCAGAGGATGCTCATGGCATTACAGCCAACTCTGAAGAAGAAGAGCCTGTTTCCTTTTTCCCTGGAAGTTCACCCACCAGGGAGGCTCTGCTAATAAGTTCCCTGGGCTAAACCCAACCTGTTTTCAGCCTCATTCCCTGCAATACAGAGAGATGCATTTGCTCTTGTAGACATTTCAGTAGAGCTGTTAACGGGTTGTACAAAATATTCTGCTGCATAGTTTTGGACTTTAAAAATTGAGTATTTGTATCATAAAATATAAAAAGAGAGTATGAAGGAAAAACAGAATTTCATTTTTTAGTTTTTTTTTTTCAGTCTCTATGTTCACTTTCCTCACCACTTCACAGCGTTGAATAAGGATTAAATAAATTGCCTCAGTGAGGGTTGAGCCATTACTGGTCATATTTTTACAGCCTAAAACTGAAATGGAAATGAGAGGCAATTATAAAAGTTTTTAATATTACCATTATTCCATGGTGACCCTTAATTTCACACGGTTTGGGCACTTTGGTTAAAGCAGGCGTTTTGAAAGTCACATGGGCTTTTGTTTTTCTTTATGTCTGAAAGTGGGACTTGTCATCGCTTTGACCTCTCAGAGGAGTCCTTTGTGTGCTCACTTTACTATGTTATTTTTTTCTCCCTTTTCAGCTGTGTCAGGGTCTGACTGTCCAGGAACCCAATCTGGCCTGCTGACACAGACGACCGCTTTTACTGGTTTCCGGGATTTCTTTGGGGGTGGGGGTGGGTGGTGATCACAATCTGAAGTGTCCACTACGGTCACTGAAAAGCAGCTGATAGATTTCATTAATTTGATTTCTTTTCTACTGCACACACAAAAAAAAAAACACCACAGATTTAATTTAAATATGATAATTGTATTACTTTCTAAGGATCAGACTCCTCTCCACCATTCTTCATGATACAGTTTTCAAAAAATAAATACATTTAGCAATAAGAATGCATCAAATGATGCTTTAACATCTAAAGTTTATAAAGTTGAAATTAAAGTAAAGCAAATCATTTGAGGACAAATGTTATGTGTAATAATAATGTGTAAATATTTGCTGGGTTCTCAGTCTTCTATGATTGTAAACTTTTTACTTTTGGGAAAATGTGATGTTATGTTTTAAAGACCAAATGATTAAATGACTGGCATATTACTCAATAATGATGAATAATCTTTAGTTGCAGCCCTTCTGGAAATTGAAACGTCCCATTCCTAAATCACAAATTTTAATTTTTTAATTCTAATATTTCCTTTCTGAAATCACAGTGAACATGCTTTTCTCTCCTCTGGCATTGCAAAGCCTTTTTGTCCATCTTGAGCTCTCCCTTTGTTCTCTTTTTCCTCCTCAGTACATTTGTGTGAGAGTGATGCTTGTTGACACATATTTGGACAGGGCAGAGCCTCTTCTATCAGTGGAAGGTGTCTGCATGCTTGTGAAGTTATCACCCCCAACAGATCAAAGAGAGTTGGCACATTATTTATGCATTGCTGAAAGGAGAGGTATTCAGCTGAAGTCGGGCAGCAAAGCATAGCTAGCCCTTATTCTGAAGTAATGACTTCCTCTTGATTGAGTGCTCCCAGTGAAATTCTGAGGCTCTGCTTTGTGTCCTTTTGCTTTGTTCTGTGTAAAAGGCCACTATGTTAGACACAAGACCCAGAGAAAATGTATCCATAAACAGTGGTTTTCAAACATTTTGTCAGAACAAAAAAGTAGAACAGAGCAAAGTTATCACCATATTCCTGCTTCCATGTTTTTTATGAGGAGCGGTCTTTTCTAATATAAATTATAGCTGAAAAGTCAAACACACTTAAAGAAATAACTCTGTCATCTTCTGTTGACTTCACAAGATCTCAGAATAAATGAACAGTGACACAGATACTTTGGGCTAACTTCAAGGTTGCATCCCCCAGACTCTGATGATCCTCAAAAAACCCCCAAAAAAACAACAACACAGTAGAGGCAACACAGCAGTGAGCCTGAGGCAACTCTTTTGCTCCCTTTTACTCTCAGGCTTAAGGCAACAACCTTTGTCCACACATTTCAACAGCTTTCGATTTAAGATGGGAAATATACTGTATGTATCGTGTGCCTTCATTGATTGATTATCTCCATTGTTACATTATAAGCTCTTCAAGTTATGGCTAATGCTTATGTCAGATTTGACTCATGTACTGCAGGATTTAGGAGCATTAGTGGTCTTGCTCGGCGTTTTGTTTATCTCAGCAGTTCAAGATAATAATAAACCAGCAATAAATAATCTGTGCCACTTTAAACAAATGTTTCTGACGACCAATGGAAGCAGATTTAAGCAACTTGCTCACTAAGGACTATTTTCACTCAAAGGTCATCCAGGATAAGTGGGGAGAAGGAGGTACACCTCGTCACTTTTTGAAGGACTAAGTGTTCTGCACTGAAATAGACCACTGGGAGACTCAAATGACTCAAAAGGCTATATCAGCGAGCACTTGTGGTCGACGTTATTTATTTATTAATTTGAGGCCTGTCTACTGACACATCTGAGTGGTCTAATTGCTGCGAATTGACACCGGTTACTGTCCATAATGGGAGCTTGGGAGTCTTTCCTAACCGCGGTTCATTCAGCCGCCCCTCGCTGCAACTTAACTGCCCTTAAAATGTCTGATTGCAACACGGGAGCTGTGGGGCGAGACAGGATTATCAGTCTTTGTTGTGTGACTGTGTCTATTATCCTGACCTCTATTCACAGTGGGCCCTTAGGAGTGTCGCTTCCAGCCACACAGCAAACTACCCCATCCCCGACAAACAACAAGTGAACCAGAGATCTCCCCCTGTCCCAATGCACTAGACACTTACAGCTCCAACACTGGGCAAAGCACTCCACTGCAGGTAAGGCTATCAAATCCCTATTGATTTAATAAAGATAAATTGGAGGCACTTCCTTTCAATGTTATTGCTGCAGAAGCGATTGATTGTTTGTGTTGACTGGTGATATTGGCACCTAGCTGGGTGACTGCTGTTAGTTTAGGAAGTTCATTACTATTGAGGAGCTGCTGGGAGAGTCTTTAATAAGGAGATAAAATGCGGCCAGGACGTTTGGGCTGCTCTTAGCGTGCTGTGTTGTTAAATGTGACGGTGGTGGTGAACTGTGTAAGCTCTGTAGCTGTGAGTGTGTGTGTGTGTGTGTGAACATGCATGTTATTTTGGTAGAGGGATGGGCACCTTGACATCACAATATTTTCTTCAAAACAGTGTAGCATGTGTGTCATTTATTAATTATCCTAAGTAGTGGTTATTTTCTTCTGGTATTTATGTTACCATGTTATTTATTTTTTTGATGTAATTATAATGGCTCAGTTTTAAAAAATTTAAAAGTCTGCACTAAAGAAATTAATTTAGGAAATACATTGTGCTGCCATTAGATGTTTTTTAAGTAAAACTGTATTCATGTTGAAGTTAATAATATAATACATTTTGATTTGACACATTTTGAAGTGTTCATAAGTGAAAAAAAAGAATAAATTGTTGAATTATTATAATTTCTTATTATATATGTTCTGGCGATTAACATTTAATTTGACATCAGAGGATAGGGTTTAATATTGATAGCAAAAAATAATAATGTTGATAGAGTAGCTCAGTTGGAGGGGAAATGTATCTAAGAAAAACCTGCATCAGGAAATTAAAGTTTTCATCTCTTTTATAATTTCATGAAAAAGGATTCTGTGTGGTCATTTAATATAGTTATTTTTTTGGATGGAAATTAGGTTTCTATGCAGAACAAGATCCTCTTTGTGCTGCTGGCATACGGTAAGAATAGTGCAACAATGCCAGAGGACACAAATAGGGATCCGCTGCTCCCTGAGGTTTGTGGATTGAAGTCTGGCACGACACAGCACACAGGCGTAGTAAGTTTTGGAATCCAGTTCCATAAATACATACCCATTAAGGCACAACTGATTAATTCATCATGTTTGTTTTTATGGTGGATGTCATGTACCCTATATATATAAACTCTCTGTAATCATAAAGATGTCAAGGCACCGAAGGTTTTGAGGGCTTCTGTGGCACATTTTCAATATAAAATTTGACCTAAAACCTAAATACGCACATGATGAATGAAGGATGAAGAGAGACAATGGATTTTTTTCCCCCTTCTTTTGCTTTTAGTATTCGCATAGTCGATTGAAATGTCTATGCTGTCATGGCGGGTTAAAAAGAGGAAAGGGCATTGGAGTTAACATCATCATTCATTAAGCCTTTTATAAAACCAAATATGGTGGTACTGGTTTCTCTGAGCCTATTCTTTCAGAAAAACACTGCAAGCATATTCTTCTCCATCTGTCTTGAGAACTTTCAACCACAGTATAGTGTGAATTCAATTTATTTCTGTGTGCCCTGATTCACCACAAATTGCTTAATGGTTTGAAACTCACTCCTGACAGCACCATTAGAGACTTGTACAGAGATAATTTCCAGTGAGGGCCATTAGAGATGTTTTGTATTTTATGCAATTTTTGTTGCTGAAGAGTATTGAAATGGGGTCATCCTACGACTACGTGCTCTGTTGGACAAACGTGAAAAAGACAATATAAACCAATTCAAAGCAGAATACCCACAGCTTTTAGAAGTCCCAAGTTGAAAACCATACATTTTTAAGATAAAAACCAAATAAATAGACCAAATAGGGGCATCTGGAGGGCACTTTTCTACCTCACACACATGGTGTAATTAGACAGTTTTAGACAATTGTTGAGAACAAAGCGGCAATGATTTTGGCATCCTGCGGTTACAGGAAATAACTCTTTAAACTCACTTCGTAGATTGTTATTGCGGAAGTTCTCTCAAACTTGTCCCACTGTCAACCAGAGCCGGCCCACAGACTACAGAGTCTCACTTATCCTCCCTCAGCCCACTACATCAGATGGGGATGATTGCAGTCTTGAAATCAATGAAACCGCAAACCTCCCTGATAATATTCCCTCTTGGGGTGCAGTGGCAGATGCAGTTGGGTCACTATTTATCCATCCACCAGAGTCTATACTGGAGATTAGTGTGCAACGATTTGATGCCAAAATCTGCATAATTACCAAAACTGTTAAAAAGTGTATGGACAGAACAGACATTATTTTATTGTAAGTATTTTATGATATAGAAATAATCAATGTTCTATAGATGGAATCATTAATAATCCTATATACATTGACAGTGAGTTAGCACGTTTTGATATTTGTACTTTTTGTTCTTTAGTGTTGAGAGGAAACACTCAGGAACACTTGTACATGATGACACTTTTGTTCTTTGTATTTGTGAGATCATGCCCCCTGGAGAAACATCCACGGATCTCTAAGTGGACCGATTTGACAATATAAAAGTCTCTCAAGCCCTCCGATCAATCATTGCTTTCCACTGCATTATTCCCCAAACAATAAAAAGACAATATCAGATTAATATATAGTCTGTTCTTGGCTGGGATTTATCCTTGTGGGGCGGGCAACGTCTCCTTGTCTGAAGTCACCAAGCAGTAAGAAGGATTTGGTTGACAGAACACAGCGGGGCCCAGAGACGTCTCTGCATTTGAGGTCACTGGTGGATAGCAAAGTTATCTAAAGCCCCAGTTTGTGTTGATTTGCCCCCCTCCATCCCAGAGTGAGTGTCAGAGATTAGTGGTGCATCCATCCTCCGTGACCTCTAGGAGCTAAAGAGATACCGCATTGCCATCTTGTGACGTGTCAGACAATGCAAGGCCAAGACTGCCATTTCAATGCCATGCTACGCCACTGGATGGCCCTTTTGTGAAATGCTTTAGAATGGTGGCCTTGCATATCATTTCAGCTTGTGTGCACCATCATAGGCACCATCCCCCCATTCCCTGAACTAGCTTTTACAGGCTACAAGGTTGTTCTGCAGAGGCATGTACTGTAATGGCATCACTAAGAGTAGGAATGCACTAAAGTTATGTGGGAAGGTTAAGATAAGTTTGCAGCTGTCAGACCTATTGGAAAATCACAGGAAAATCTCAGGAGACTATTTCCAACACTTCACCTTCACATCTTTAGTGTTATTTTTACCAAATTTTAAAGCAAATGTTAAAGCTTACAAAAAGAAGCAACTTGCTTGCCTCTTACTGACTTATTATTGCTTTTTCATCTGAAATTGTTTATCCTAACCTAAATGCCAATTCTAATCATACAGAACAGACCTATTGTGTAAAAATCTTTCTTTTAGGTCTTGCATTTTTTAGTATAATTGGTTATTTGATAAAGGGCCATAGTCTCATGATGAATTGACGGACCTTCACGCGCGATTAATCAACCGTTATTAGATATTCAGACCTGAGATTCCAGCATATTTCTCATTTTGACTGACAAGCCAGTGGTGGAAATAGACTAAACTAATACAAGTAGTGTCAAAATGTCAAATGGACCATCTCTGAGAACATCAACAAAATGTCTGTATTGAATCTCTCTAAGGCTTCAGTATTCCCTGGCTCAAACCACAGAACTCAATACAACCAGAAAACTGGCATAAAAACCTCAGTCAGATATCTGACATTCCCATTTCTGAGGCTGTCAGGGCTTCTCCTGGCTCTGGCATTGTGTGATCTATAAATCGTTCCCCTAAGGAAGTGGAGTTACTCAGAAAACACCATAGATTCCACCCACCATGTTAGATGTGAGCATGTCAAGCTATACCAAAAGGCATATTTTACAATATATAGTGAAAAAGTCTGCTGAGATGTATCGAAGTGGGTATTGGCATGGTAAAAGCATTATCTCAGAATAACAAATTGTCTCTTCTTAATATCAACAGTGATCGTAAAACCCTCGAAAGTGACACACTTTTCAGTGATAAATATGAAATCACTGTAACATAAAGTGTAGAGCAGTGGAGCAGTTCACCTTTTTCTGAATACCATTTCTTCAAATGTCTCCAGTGAAATAATTTAGTCTACTTTCAGACAATGTCTGCAAATGCACACGGTTGTCACACACAGTGAGGTTTCTGATTTTGACTGTGTCACTATATTCTTGTTTCTGTCATATGTATATTGTATAAATAGTGTGTATAATATTATGTATTATTAATGCTTTGGCCAGTACTGTATATGGCCCAAAGCAAAACTCATAAACCCATCTCAGTAGGGACATGCAGAGCTTACTGAAAAGGCAAGTGCTTCAATAAAAAACAGGAAATCCCATCACCTGCAGCATTTTTGGGGGTGTTCCACCTTTTAAACAACAGCACACAATTGTATAGATGGATACTTTTATTCTCTGTATGCATCTGATTAGCTGTTCTTTCTCCTTATCTAGATCTGAAAACTGAAATGTAGCATTCTGTTCCAAAATGTCTGTATCTGTTTTGGCAAATAAGAAAAAGAAACAGAAAACCTTTACCTCAGGTCAGCTCATGCAATAAGTTGCAACTGCTTTCAGTAAGCAATCTACTGTATTTTGTATATGTTTTTTTAATAGAGTAGGGTCTTTCTTAAAGAATATTTTCACCATTTTTGTCAACATTCTATGTTTGTGTGACTGACAAATAGTTCAGTTTCAGAGGTGAACTTGAGGTTATAAGGATTTTTTATAAACAAGATGCTGTTTTAGACATTTCTTCTGTACATACCCAGTTCCTCACTACTGGTGGGTGCTGTGTGGAAAGAAGAAATAATCATTTGGCAGGAAGAAATAAGTGCTGCACTACACCGGGCAGCAAAGGTGTTTGAATTCACTTGGCTAATAGTGTGAGACATGGCCCTTCAGGTCATCAATTATTATAAATTAATGATTTTAAAAACTGCAATTACACCAGGGGTTGTGAATTATTTAATAAGCACAAGCACAGATTAGTGGGACATTGTCCACTCTATGCCAATGTTTTAAAAC